TCCACCAGTAGTTTTATAGTTTGAGGTCTTAGGTTCAGATCTTTGATCCATTTTGAGTTGATTTTTTGTTAATGGGTGAAAGATAGGGATCCAGTTTCATCTCTCTGCAGATAGATACCTAGTTTTTCCAGCACCATTTGCTTAAGAGATTTTCCTTTCCCCAATGGATTGACTGGTATCCTTTGTCAAAAATCAGTTATGTTTGGGGGTTTATTTCTGGGGTCTCTATTCTATTCCATTGGTCCACCTGTTTGTTTTTGTACCTATGTCATGCTGGTTTGATTATCACAGCTTTATAGTATATTTGGAGGCCAGGGAGTGAGATACTGCCCATTCCGCTCTTCTTGCCAAGTTTGCTTTGGCAATTTGAGGTCTTTTGTGATTCCAGACAAATTCTGTGATTTTTTTTTTATAGATCTGTGAAGAATATCTGGTATTTTGATTGGAATTGCATTATTATGTATATTAATTTGAGTAGAATTGCCATTTTGATTATGTTAATTCTTCCAATCCAGGAACATGGGATGTCCTTCTGCTTTTTTGTGTCATTTTCAGTAACTTTTTTAAGATTTTCAGTTTTCTTTGTAAAGGTCTCTGACCTCCTTAATTAGGTTAATCCCTAGGTATCTTATACATTTTGAGGCTAAGGTGTAAAAGAGATTCCTTTCTCCAGATCTACCTCATTCACCTGTTTGTATATAGAAATGCTATAGATTGTTTTATGTTGATTTTGTATCCTGACACTTTATGGTATTCATTTATTACTTCGAGAAATTTTTTCATGGAAATGAATCAGACTTTTGAAGCAGGCAAATCAAGAAAGCCCAAGAGGGCAATATTTTCTTATTCACAAATGTTTTCCCTATTCCAAGACTGGAATGTGTAAGGGAATAAATTGTTTTGTATATTCAAAGGCAAGTTTCCCCCTAACTTTGCCTCACACATCCCAAATAACAACTTTTTACCCGATTTGAATGAAATTTTATCAGGTCGAATTCTTTTAGCGAGGATTGCCTGAATCTACAGGACAGGATGGGGCTAGAGTTAGGTAAAGAATATAAGTCATATGCTTTAGTCTGATTTAATTTGAAGTGTCTACTCCTCCACCACTCAACTGGGTTATCTGGGAAAATGGAAGCTTTGTAGGGAATATGAGGAAAAGTAGAGGCATATTGCCAAAGCCAGAAGTAGCAATGTTTTAGCAACTGTGAGGAACTGCTTAACTGAGTTAAAGTAGAATATTTGGGACAACCAAATATTCTAAGCACAACATGTAGATTCAGGCAAACTGTGGACATCTTTGGGTGGATTGGCAAGTGTATCTGGATTGCTTTTTTCAAGCCCTTCACCTATATGTGCGTACATATACACATGTCTTTACCTAGACTAACACACACCACCACCATGGCCCTCAGCTAGGCATACAGATAACAGAAGTATAGGTGATCTGGTAAGAGAGAGTCATTGGGAGAAAATGGGCAGCACAGTCCCTAAGGAAGATGGCCACTTCAGGAAGGACAAAGTGATACTCATTTTATTCTAAAGATTATCTCTTTAAATTTATTTATTTATTGCATGAGTGAAAGAGACAAAGAGAGAAATCTTTAATAGGTTCCTGGTACCACAGTCCATCTCCAGCCAACGCCAGTCCTGGATCATGGGTTTGTACTTGGTTGGTGCACTCAAGGAAGTCTCTGGATGAGAACCTGGTGGTTCTCTTTAAGGTGGGCCCACCTCTTTAAGGTGGGCCAGGCTTGCAGAGCATTAGCAGTTGACTGTTGTACCACCAACCTGCCCCCTGTTTTAAAGATCTTGGGGACAGCAGGTGGCATGGTAGTTAAGGCACTGGACTCCCACATGGCTGACCACAGTCTGAGTCCCAGACCTGGCAGCTTGAAAATCATGCTTGGTTCATGTGCATTCATGTCCAAAACCCCAAGAGGAGAATAGAGAGGGGACTGCAGCATTTGGGGGAGGGAAATTTCTCACATTCCTTCTCACTGTGTCTCTCTGTCTCTCTCCTCTCCAGTGAGCACACATGCCCTATAGCAAAAACCCTAAAAAAAAAGTTTTTTAAATCTTAACAGTTTTGTCAAAATCTTTGATCATCTTTGCCTTTTTTAGGTTTTCTTTTAGATGTTGGGCACATGATTATACAGATCTTTTAATTTTCAAGTGCTCCTAAATAGGCTGAATGCCTTTCTTGCCAGTCTGTTCGCTCAGTTATTCATTTTTATTTCTGCTGATCATAGACAGCTATCTTTCTGTCTCTGTGTCCTAAGACCTAACACACTATTTCTCGCTTGATATTGTTGGATAGATAAGAATGAGGACGTGGAGAAAGACGTATGGATGGGTTTTAAAGAACCCTTTCTATTTTAGATTTTAATTTTAATTCATAAGGTAAATCTGAATTTCTTTTCGGTTAATGACTAGTGACTATCTCATATTACATTAATTATTTAATTCCTAAAACCTAAAGTCGTCAGCCATAACAATCACTAGGAATTCTAGTTTCCTAAGTATAAGATTATAGATAAAAACTGGACTGGTTGAAGTAAAATGGCATAGGATCTTTATTTCCTCACTGAGAAGCAAAGCAGCTGCAAAATATGATTGTGAGAAAGTAGTATCTCTTAGTTCCTGATAATTAGGGCAGTAATTTCCATCTCTCTTTCCAGGGAAGACTGTTATTTGATGAGCTAGGCTTAATTTTTTTCTCATTTAAGGGAAGAAGATAATGTATAGTCAGTCTTCTCTCCATTTTAAGCTTTTGCTCCCAATCATTTTTTATGAGTTTTGACATCAGTTTATTGTTTTCCTAGCATCTAATTTAGTACAAGGTTTAGATATTTAGGTATCAAGTTGAATACATTAATAGTAGTAGGTAGGGGTTTGGCAGCAGAAAACATTTTAAAACTACTGTACTAAAACACTATTTTCCAGGACCAGCAGATGGTGTAATGGTTACGTTGCCTGACTCCCATGTGGTTGACTATGGTTCAAGTTGCAGACCCAGCAGCTTAAAACTCGTACTGTGTGTGTGTGTGTGTGTCTGCGTGTGTGTGTGTCCAAAATCCTGAGAGGAAAATGGAGGAGAAGAGATTGCAACATGGCCATCTCCCTTAGGGGGTGATTTCTTGCTTTTCTTTCTCTCTGTCTCTGTCTCTTCAGCAAGCGCACACACCCTATAGCAAAAAAAAAAAAAAAAAAAAAAAGTCTCAATAAAGAGAAAGAAACAAAAAACCCTACCATTTTCCTTGCTGGGGCTTAGATGGAAGAGTTATTGGGAAGTGACTGGTAAAGGGTTTAAGGTTTCCCTTTGGCATGATGAAAATGTTTTAGAACTAGAGAGAGGTGTTATTTATGCAACATTGTGAATGTACTGAATGCCACTGTCTTTGTATACACGTTAAAATGCTTAATTCTGTGTTCTGGAAAGTCTGCATTAATTTAAAAAAAAAAGAAAATACACTATTCTAAACTTTTCTAAGTTCACAACACATCTGTGAAATATCAAAATGTATGCTATAGTTCAGAGTATAAAGTGTTCCTATGGCCATGTAATTATTCCTTCAAACAGTTATTAGAGTGAAAATGAGAATCATAGGTTAAATGCAGGAATAATAAACATAAACAAGGGTTATCCTGAGCAAAGTGGGAGAACAGTCACATTGCCTAAAGCTAATGTAAGCTGCTTATGCAAACTTATCACTGCTGCTTGCTATTTATCTACAGCATTAGATTCAATATTTTCTTAAAATAATTTAAAAAGTTTATTTCTGTATTCCATGAGGGGACAGAGAGAGAAAGAGAGAGAGAGAGAGACAGGCACTTCCAGCAGTCCTGTCTCTCACGGTCACACTGTGGTCCATCTCCAGCCTTAGCCAGCCTGTATCGTGGGCATGCATGTATATCTCCATGCCGTGTAAAAAAGCTTTAGAACATAAACTCAGGACTTCCTATGTGGGACCAGCACCACAAAGTATTATGTCACTGCTAAATCACTCAGGCCTCTAAAAATTTGAGTCTCCTGTACAATACTCGATTCTTTAAAGAAAACTTACTTGTGTAGTGTTGACAAAGATAACCTCACTTGCAAATAAAAAGCCTATTTCAAACTTTAAAAAGTAACAAATAATCTTACTAGCTTAAAAAGAATAGAATTGGATAAAGTCATTCTTAATTTTGGGCTGGTGCCATAGCCTAGTGGTAAAGGGAACTGGATTTCACATGACCAACTCATGATTCAAATTCCAGCCTCAGCAGCATGTCAGTGCTAGGCACATGTGTGTCCAAAATCACAACAAAATGGGAAAATGGAGGATAAAGGATTGTAGTGTGACCACACCCCATTGAGGGGTGCTTTCTGCCTCTCCTTCTCTCTCTCTCTCTGGCAAATGCTTGTTCCCTCTGGCAATTAAAAAAAAAATAGGCAACATTCTTATTTTTAATGAAATAAAAGCAATGAGACTTTAAGCAGATGTTTCTTAAATCCTGTTTCCAGTAGTGTCTAGACAGACCTAGTATGCCATTGGTTCATAAACAGTTGGGTAGATTGGCCAGTTGGGTGCGTGCACACACACACACAGACTGCATGCACTCATGTCTGTGACACCATCACCCTTAATTACTGTAGTCAAATACTGCTGGAGTAGGATGGGAAACCCTACTATATTTAAGTTAGTGAAAGCGGGAAGCATACCTTATTAATTTTCTTACTTTCAAACTTTTGGCCACTGTGTGTCCTTAACATCTTTACATCTCAATCATACTTAATCTTAACAGATAGTGCCTTGTCATTTATCACAGTGTTTCTATGGGCTTTTTTGTAAGTTAATTTCCACCACATTGATTTAGTTTGAAATGTATGTTTGCCATGGCTTTTTCCCCCATTATGGTGTTTCAATGTAGTATCTTGTGTTTATTATTGTTAATAAAGTAGTTTTGCATATAAAGTTAAGAGTAGGCTCTAACATTGGCGTCTTAACTTTCTCTAGAACTGTCAAGTAATCCACCTCTGGCTACCATCCTTATTCCTCCTCATGCTCGGATTCAAGCAGCTGCTTCCACCCCTACAAATGCCACAGCAGCCTCAGGTGAGGACACAGAAAGTCTCTTCTTTATAAAACATACTCTATTTTTTAAAAGCTGTGATTACCGTCATTTCATTTCACTTGATGAGTGTGAACACTTCCAAATATCAAAAATATAGCAGAGCTGAATGAGTAAATGTAAAGAAAATGTTGATTTATTTCCAGAAAACACACAAAAAAGCACCTCATAATACTTTATATAGAAGGTATAAGTATCATCTTAGATTTGTCACTTTAATTGGTATTTTAAGAGTCCTGCCATACATGTAATTTCATGATTAATATGTATCAAATGAGATAAGCTGTACAACTGTAATGTTACTGAAGATAATTCACCTTAGTTCCATACCCCAAAGATAAGCTATATTAGTATATTGGAGAATTTCCATATACTAATACAAATTTTCAGGAAGTATAACATATAGGTTGATAATTTTTTGGGGGGGGGAGAGGTTTTTGCTATTTGGCGCATGCGCTCACCAGACAGACAGACAGAGACAGAGAGACAGCGAGAAATCACCCCCCCAGGGGGGTTGGCCACGCCACAATCCCTTCTCCTCCATTCTCCTCCTAGGATCTTGAGCACGCACGGACACGTGCCCAGCGTGAGTTTAAGCCACCGGGTCCAGGACTTGAACCACGGTTGACTACGTGAGAGTCCAATGACATAGCCATTACGCTAACTGCTGGTCCCGATAAAATTTTTTTTGAATAATTTAAAAGGACTAAAAGTACAATCCAAGTACATTTAACTAAAATTTACATTAGAATGTGATTATCAGAACCAACAGGTGTAATGGGTATGTTGCTGGACTCCCATGTAGTTGACCACGGTTCGAGTCCCAGACCTAGTGGCTTGAAACTCATGCCGGGTGCATGTACATGGTGCCCAGAATCCCAAGAGGAGAATGGAGGAGAAGGAATTGCAACGTGGCCATCTCCTCCAAGGGTGATTTCTTACTTTCTGTCTCTCTGTTCTTTTTCTCTGGTCAGCTCACATGCCCTATAGCAAAATCTCTCTCTTAAAAAAAAAAAAAGAAGAATCAAACTAGCGTCTGGCCCTGAGGCCTGCAGTCTGTCCCCCAAGCCCTGCTGCGTTTCAGTCCCAGACCCAGTGGCTTAAACTCACGCCGGGCGCGTGTGCATGGGTGCCCAAGATCCCTAGAGGAGAATGGAAGAGAAGAGACTATGGTGTGGCCATCCCCCCCTGGGGGGGTAATTTCTTGCTTTCTGTCTCTCTGTCTCTCTCTGTCTTTCTAGTGAGCACACGTGCCCTATAGCAAAAAACCTCTCCAAAAAAAAAGAAGAAGAATCAGATTATCTACCAAAAAAAAAAAAAAATCTTACATTGACCCCCAGGTTAGAGAGAGGATGTTCTGCTGGTCTCTTAGCCAACTAATGGTGGAAACTGATTTAGTGAGAATCATTGTCATCACAGATATTCTGAAAATGCCCTACCCTTGGGCAAATTGCAGTTTCTCCAAAGAATGGCTAGAGGCTGTTAAATGAAATTAGAAACATATAGGTAGCAGAATTAAGAGCTTAGAATGTGGTACTTTTTTTTCCTCCTCCAAAAAGCAGGTGGCAAGAGCTGACTCATTTTCACTAAATCATCTATCATATTGAACTGAGTTGGATCAGACCCATTTTTACCTGAGATTTATGCTACAGGAGATGAACTCTTTCTTTATTAGTTCTTAGCACTCAACAGCACTCAAAATCCATCTTCTATCATCTGCAATAGTGTTGTTTGTTTCTGCCTAACCTTGATCTTTAAAGTTATTAATACATATTAAAAACATTTTATTCTATTCCATGTCCTATCTAAATTCAAGGAAAAAATTCTGGAAAGAAAAGTTTCTTCCAGTCTAGTTCCAGTAGCACGTACTACCTTGAGAAGGTCATTTAAACTTTCTTAGTTTTATTAGTATTTCACTCATTTTTATTAATTTATTTTATACATTCAATCACTGTACATAACTATAAAAAGAATTTACCCAACATGAATACACTTCACACCAGTCTAGCTGAAAACATACACATTATCATCAATAGACAATCATTAATTTCTCTGTCCCTTAAAATGTCTTGCCTCTCTACTTTTCTCCTTGATTCCTTTCCTCTTATTCTCCCCTATCTCTTAGTCTCCAGTAACCATTTTCTATGTTTTAATATCCTTTAATCTTTCCGTTTCCACCATAGAGTATGGACAGTCGGTATGTATTAAGTAGTACAGTATCTCTTGCTTAGCCTGGCTTGCTTCACTCAGCAGTGAATCTTCCATATTCATCCACTTTCTATCAACTGCTAGGGTCTTTTTTTTTTTTTTTTTTTAATGGCTAAGTAGTGTAATATACATTGTGTGTATGTGCCACATTTTTCAATCCATTCAACTGTTTGTAGACATTTGGATTGGTTCTGTGTGAATAGCAATCGTGAATAATGCCAAAATAAACATAGATGTGCAAATATTTTTCTGAATGAGCATTTCCTTTTTTTCCCTCAATTTGTGAAATGGACTGTCACTGTTCTAAAGAAATGTAAAAATCAAATATGTGCCCAAATGTGCCTTAAAATTTTTAAATTGAAAAATACAATTGTTGGGACCAGCAGTTAGCGTAATGGCTATGTTGCTGGACTCCCATGTAGTCGACCACGGTTCGAGTCCCAGACCTGGGGGCTTAAAACTCACGAGGGGGATCCCGAGAGGCGAATGGAGGAGAAGGGATTGTGGCGTGGCCATCCCCCCGGGGGATGATTTCTCGCTTTCTCTCTCTCTGTCTGTCTCTGTCTGGCTGGCAAGCTCACACGCCCTATAGCAACCCCCCCCCCAAAAAAAAATATATATATACACACACACACACAATTGTTAAAAAAAAACTATGACCTATTTATTTAGAATAAAGACAGATGCTTAAGTGAACTAATACACTTAATACATTGGCAGACCAGGTTAGATTGCTTTGATTGTTCACAAAATAGGCCCCTAACCCTAAAGTAACACATTGACTTCTTGAGCTGGTTTCCAGGAGTTTTATTAGAATTGCTTTAGATGATATATAAAAATGAGAATTATGTTTGGTAGGTTTTAGGTAATTTAGAATAATTTTCTAAATGCAAAATACTGAACTAATTAATGGTTTCTGGGCAAATTCTCTGCCTAGTAAGAGCCTACTGTGACCTGATCTTTATGTGGTTTACAGGTTGAAGCAGCCACCAAAAAATTTTCATTGATAAATATATATTCCTATAGCTGTTGAAATCAGATTTCAGCATAAAAATGCAAGCTAACAGTAGACTTTGACCCTAAGAGTTTACTCCAGAGTTGTAATAAATCATGACATGGGAAAGTTAATGGAGGAGTGGTCTGCTGAAGCCAAGCTGTAGAGAAATATGTGCCTTGAGTGTCTTAATAGTTACCAGAGAGGATTTCAGATGCTACTCTGAGCTCCTAGAAGCTAAAGTAAATAAACATTATCTGTTAAAATTTCTCATTGTTCATTAGATAAAAAGCACACTGGTAGCTGAGGAGAAGCATTGTGTTTTTGGTCCTCCTATTGAAGAACTATTTCTCCCAGGGCTTCAGATTTGGTACTAAAAGTAACAGAGTAAATGAAGTTCTCAGCATTATTAATAAACAATAGTTTCATATGGATACTTTTTTTTTAACTGCCTCAGAGTATAAGCCAAAGACATATAATACCACAGCATAATTAAAGGAAAACAGTTTTCTGTGGGACCAAAGTAGTGAAGGCCAACTATGTCACCAAATGTAACTCAGGAAATGCTGACTAGACCAAGGCCTTAACTGCTGCCTGTATTTAAATATATATGTATGTGTATGTATTCTTTTATGTTAGATGACACATACGTGCATGCACACAAGGGGACGGAGAGGGAGAGAAAGCACCCCAATAGGGTCTGGTCACACCACAATCCTTTTTGCTTTAATTCTCTATCCTGTGAGAATCCTGGGCACATGCGTGTACATCCAGCATGTTTTTAAGCTGCCGAGGCCAGGACTCAAACCCTAACCAGCCGTGTGGGATTTGGCTTCCTCTGAAAGCAGTTAACTGCTGTGCTATAGGCTGGCCCTATGTATAGTTTAAATAAGGTGGCATTGCAAGAGTTACATTCTTTAATAAGACCTTAAAATATGCATGTCTTCTGTTTCTCTTAGCCTCAGTTTCCTTATCCATAAAACAGGAATAGTGAATATCTACCATATAGAGTTGTGAGAGGTAGAAGTTACAGTGTTGAAAGTGCTTAGCATTTTGTCTGGTCACATGGTAGGCTGTCAGTGAAAGGAAACTGTTGTTAGCATGTTTATTACTGTTGTTGCCAAGTAGGAACAGATCAGACATACTAAAAAAAAATGCCACATGGAAGGCAAGGTTGGCATCCATTCCTTTAAGATAAAAGAATCTATGACTCTCCTCTCCTGGATAAATGGACATCCTATCTGCTCAAGGGTAAAAAGAAATAAACTGGTAAGCTACAAAGCTCCAGACCTGGAACTATGTCAGATTTAAAATGTGCTAAGTCAGGATTTCTAATCACCACCCTAGCCTGCATCAACACAATAATATACTGCAACAGGCCCTGGGGTAAATTAATTGCAATATCAATCCCTAAGTAAATTAGCTAGCTTACTAGATTAGAGTCAGTGGAAAACATCTATCAAAATAATTAGCATTTTAGGGGTGGAGCCACTCTTAGCCTGAGAATATGCCTCCTACTCACCTAAAAGTGGTCTTAGAGGAGCCAGCAGGTGGTATGGAAGTTGAGGCAGCTGGATCCCATGTGTGGCTGACTGGGTTCGAGTCCCAGATGTGGCAGCTTAAACCAGGCACATGTGCGTGCATGTGTGCCCAGAATCCCAAGAGAAGAATGGAGAAAAGATTGCTGCTTGGTTATCCCTCCTGAGAAGGGGTGTGATTTCTCACTTTCTCTCTCACACTCTCTGTCTCAGCCTGAGGAGTGTATGCATCCTGTAGCAAAGT